CCAAGGTTACTATGGTTACGAAAAATCCATTACCTTTGAATACAGAATGAAAAAGTTTGACTTAAAGTGTGCGCTATTTATTATAGCAGACATCAACAGCCTTCGGGAGCCTCTCTAACTGGATTCATTTTTCAGTGTCACAACTGACCCACCATACTACTAGCTTATGGCCTATGCAAGGCAAAAAATTTGAACTGTATGCATTTTTAAATATATTTTGTACTAACTCAAGGTGCAGCAATGCCTTTGACTTTTAATGCTTCATATTTAAGAGAAAGAAGAAAAACATTCCAGCCACCTCGATGCTAAGTGGCTTTAGAATTGAAATGCATTTACTTTTACCCAAATCCACCATGGCGGCTGGATCCATTTTTTTTTTCAACCCGTAACGGAAGAATGTTAGTTCTATGTGGAAACTTAAAAAGAAGCTACAGACAAATGGAGCAGGAGTGAGAAAAAAAAATAAAAGGTCGATACTTTGCATACTTGGGAGGAGACAGCAAGCCAAGTTGTTAAGGACATTTTTGATGGTGTGGAAGGCAAAGAACTTTGAATAGTGGAGATGACTGTAACCAAGAAAAACAGGGTATGAAACATAGCTCTCAAAGGAGTTCTAGAATTAATCCTCACCCCTATTAAATCTTTGCTCATCAGCAGAATCAAAGTAAAATATAAATGACTAATAATCACACAAAAAGTGTGCGGTAAAACCAGTAGTCAAACTGTAAACAGAAATAAAAAAAATTTCAACTTGTAAAATTATCAAAGATTTAAGAATATAACATTCACTGCTGATGAACTTTTCTGCAAAACAATGTGAAAATGTGTATCAAATATTCTGTAAATGCTTGCTACCTATGACTTAGCCGTTCCCCTTTTAGAGCTCGAGCAAAGATTTATGTACAACAATATTTGCCACAAAATATTTAAAACAGAGGTTAAGTCAGAAACTTTTGAATGTTTCAAGCACTTAAATATATTAGTGTACATTTGTAAGATGGACTGTGACATTATTAAAATATTTCAAAACATTTTTAGAAAAATCCTTAATGATATGGGATATATTCATAATTAGGGAATATGCAAGGATTCAAAATTACACATTATAGATCAATTTTGCTAAAATGAATGAAATGCTAGAAGGAACTACATCAAACATGAAGAGCTTTTATCTGCATGGCGGGACTACCAGGTATCAAGTATCTGCATGTCTGAACTTCAGTAAGCATGTTACTCTTTTACCTAAAAGGTATTATCAACTATTTCTCTTATCTGTAGATGGCATCTTCCATTTCTCAGCCTATGAACTGACATTTCAGCACTGCACAGATCTATTTTAGTGACCCTAAACTCTGGCTACTACTGACAGCACCAGCGCTCATGAATAGAAGTCCCCTCCACAAACCACTCAGCATGGAAAGGACATTAAGTCACAAATATCCTGACACAAAGACGAGCAATGAGTACCAACAGCAGCTGAGATACATATTATGATGAAACGCGGCATAGATTTAAGTTAGCTATAGAGGTTAAAGGGAGACCCAATGGCCAGAGTGGATTTCTCCATCAGTTTTCTCCTGGCTGACTTCAAGCAGCCAGATTCCCTTTCCCATTCTGCTTTCTCTTTGATTCCTAGTGGAAAGGTAAGCCTTGAAGACACAAAGGACCTAAATTCTGTGCACATCACAGGTATAAAACCTTACAGTTCAGAGAGATCTTAACGGCCATTTATTCAGCTGGCATGCAATTTGAGAATCTCGAGACAAGTGAACGTTCTGCCTGGGCTAACAGAGAAGACACTTTAGGATGCTGTTACGAACTGAACTGTGTTCTCCAGAACGTACACGTTGAAGCCTTCACCCACAATGTGACTATATTTGCAGACAGCGCTTTGAAAGAGGTGACGAAGGTGAAATGAGGTTATAAGGATAGGGCTCTAATCCAGCAGGACTGGTGTCCTCACAGGAAGAGGAAGAGACCCCAGAGGAGCACACAGAAGAAGGGCCACGCGAGGACACTGGGAGTGGGAGGCTGTCTGCCAGCCAAGGAGAGAGGCCTCGAGAGAAACCAAACCTGCCAACACCTTGATCTTGGATGTCTAGCTTCCAGAACTGTGAGAAATAAATTCCTGTTGTATAAGCCATCCAGCCTGTGGCATTGTGCGAGAGCAGCCCTAGACTCATTCAGATGCTCTGGGGTTTGTAATCGGGCTTCCATCTCCCTTTCAAAGCTGTTGTAAGAAATAATAAAATATGTTCAATATGTAAAATGTGTAGAGGTGAAAAGCATGGGCTTTTGAGGCCAGACAGACCCAGATTTGAATCTGTTCTTTCAATCACTGACTAGGATTTCCTGATGTCTCTGGGCCCCAGGTTTCTGGGCTATAATGTCAGAATCATCAGGTACAACTCTGAACCTCACCATCAAGTTTTTGGCTTAGTTCCTTCCCCTAGTGACCAACACTGCATCCCTACTGGGCTTTGTATCCTCTGCCATTTGGAGATAAAGACAACAAGAAATACATTTGCTTGTGAGACAACAAGGAGGATGCAGCCAAAAATGTCATGCGTGTTATCAAACCGGTGAAGAACCCATTATCACTCCGGTTGGAGAAGATAGTTATGGACACTATAAAATTATTCCACTTTCTTTATATTATATTTGGGGCATCTATTATACTATGGCAACATTTGCAATGATCTTTTAAAGCAGATACTACAGTCTTACGGGTCTGTTAATGATTCAGCCCAATATAAGGCAGATTTGGTATCATTTCTGAGGTGGTATGAGAAACTACTGTGAATTCTGGCCTCCTCTCCTCCTCACACTGTCCTTTTTCTGGCTCTGCACAGTGTCACCTCACGTGGCATTCTGCACATTCTGGAAATCTTCAAGGCCCACACGTTGAGACTGACGATCAGCCACACCACTTCCCTCTCGACCGGAGCGCAGGGATGGGATCCTAGTTTCTTTGTCTCTGGTTTCACCCTTTCCTCCACATCTTTTCCCTATTGCTTTTTCTTTCCCACCCCACTCCCCTCTGCGATCTTCCTTCCTTGTTCCCAGCAGGTAGCTGATTTCACTCACTCGTTAACTCAGCACTGCGTCTTCTCTGCCCACTCTGTGCTCAGTCCTGGAGACGCGGTCATGAACGAGACAGGCCCGGCCGCGTTCCTGTGATGCTCATGGTTTAGTGGGGCAAACTGACCAGTACACAGGCAGACTCATTCAAGACAACGCAAACCAAAACACAAGGCGCATGAAAGCTTTCAGTGAGCATGCAGGGGGCGTCAGAGAAGGCTTCACACAGGCAATGTCTAGAATAAGCCTAAAACATGTGTCTTGGCCATGACACATGATGATGATACATTTGGCCCCGTGAAAGTCCTTTGTGTGATAATTATAACACATGGGTAAAGTCTATTCCAGGATGTGTTTCCATTTCTTCTGAAATAATTTCCGTGGCCAATAACTTTTAGTTAAAATAATGCCCTCAGATGCTCCTAGGCAAGTGTAATCTACTTATTTTTAGTATTTATTTTTCAGTTAAGTTCTCTTTATTAAGTGTTCTTTACTAAGAACATTCTAGGTGTTTTTCAACACGAGTCCCCTTCAAAAATCCTGAAAATTGCAGTTCTTTCCATTTTACAGTTTCAGAAACTAAGTCTGAGAAGTTAGGTGGCTGGTGTTAAGAGCACATTCTCTTCATCACAGCCAGAATGTTTGAGATCGTATCAAAGTTTACCACTCCCAGGCTGTGTGACGCTGAGAAAGTTGCTTAACCTTTCTGTGCCTCAATTTCCTCATTCGCAAAATAGAGTGAATGATAATACTGACCTCAGAGAATAAGTATTACAGAATTTTATCCAACCATGATAAATAAGATACAAAAGTAATAGTTCTTGTGTTCTGAAGCCTTTCCTACTAGAGAGGACACAAAAAATGTAAACTCTGAGAATTAGATTAATGCCATGGCCCTGCCCCCAAACGCCCTATTCCTGCATCCATATGTGTTGCCATAAAGTCATGGACACTGTGTCTGGCTGATTCTCTGCTACCACCTGAGCACCTGGCATTAATGTGAAGGAGTGAATATATAAACAATTAATCCTGCCTCTGACTCTAACCTGTTCTGATCTTTTATGAAGAATTTAATCTCTCTGAGGCCTCAGTTTTTCATCAATTAATATTTGATTAATTATATCTCACCTAATAGTCACATATAGTATATCAACTATTACAAAATATATAACCACTACAATTATGATACAAATATAAACACAATTCAAAACCAGACAACGTATCTAATACAGGTGGGTCTCCTGTGTTTCACAAGGTTTCCACCCATTAACTTTACTGAAGTGTCATCACACTTTATAATATGATCTAGGCAGATCTACTATGTTTTTCTCAAATGGTCTACAACTGAGATCACACTGAGTCACACTGCTGAGTCTTAAGATTATTCCACATTCGTGAAGACTGTAAAGTTAACTCATGTGCCAGTGGTGTGTGTATGAAATGGCATCAATGACTCAACCACTCACAGTGAGCCTGGCTGCACCATACCGGGCCCCAGCTTTGATCCTGTGATCAGTCAGAGGCAGAGAAGTCATATGCTGAGCTCTGTGTATCAATACTTCCCAAAGCCCCCTCTGCACTGCAGAAAAGGTGTATCAGTAGAAGGGTTCAGGCAAGACTGGCGGGAACAATGGTAGAAGAGAACATGCAGTGAGACAGCTTTGGGAGAAGCGGGGTGGGGAAGGGAGGCAACATGAGCCCTTTTCCATTTTTCTAGCTTTGGCTTCACTGTGAGCATAACGTAACCATAAAGATCATGGAATTTTAGTGATGTAACAGGAAGCAAAAATAACTAACCCAACTTTTAAGACTGCATTCTCAGACAATGCTACAGTTATCTGAAATACGCATATTAATTTGTAATTACATATATTCTTTTATAGACTATAACTATTTACCGACACCAACAGAAGTCTTACCTGTGACTGTGTAGTTCTCTGCACCCCCTGAATAGATTAGCATCCCATCCATATATAAAGAGTACTGAGTTATAATACCATTTGCTTTCTTGGGTGGATTCCAGGAGAGTAACAAAGAATTGGGAAAGGATTTAGCTACTGGTGGCTGAACCTCTTGTGGAGCTGTGGGGGAGGAAAAAAAAAGATTTATAGAGTCTAATTTTAGTTTACTTTTCTAATTCAAACTTTTCAGACCCAAACCAATAAATCATGGAATAAACCTGAAATCTCATGCACGGAAATGTTCCTGATTCGTGGGCAGCTTGTCAGTAATTGCTTTAGGAACAGTGCTAAATAACTGTCCTGAATTTATGAGAATTTGCATCAGTGATGGATGGGGAGTATTTAACACCAGTTCATTTGACTGATGCTTGTGTTACTTCATCAAAAGTATTATTAACCCATAATCTCTACTTGGGGCTGTGCTTATTACAGCAAATCAGACAGAATCCCTACCCTTGAGGAGCTTTTGATCTAAGATGAGCAATGCCAGTGAAAGTGGTTCATAATCGATATAAAAAAATGCATACACAACCATAGAAATAGCCAGAAAATACAGAATTAATTAATTACATATGAAAACTACATTGTATATGAGTTTTTTTTTTAAATAAAGGGGGCCTGTTCATTTCCTGTAATGCTTAGTCAATTGGAGTCACAGGAACTAAAAAAGCTTTTAGAAATTGACACTAAACATACCCATCATTTGGTAAACTGGTAGTACCCTTAAGGAAAAACTAGAAATTGGGGATCCCTTAAATAATAGAAAGGAAACGGTGAACTGGATGAGGAGGAATCCCTCTGGGGTATAGCGAGGAAGTAGGTTTGAAGGGTACCAGGCAAAACCTGAACAAAGGATGTGTGAGATGAAGGATGACTTGTACCGTATTGAAGTTGGTGGAAGTAACTGTAAAAGGGGCTGGTGACACGTGACTCCACAGAAGCAAAGACCTCTAAGAGAAACACCACTAGTCTTGGTAGTCTGGATGGAGAGAACGTTGAGAAAATGCCAAAGATGGGCCACTGAAGGATGGTGTAATCCAGGTGAGCGGGATCTGGTTAGGTCAAGTGCAAGGCATACAGGACAAAGGGCCACAAAAAGGGTTTTACGGACTCCTCTGTTCTGTCATGGTTTCATTGTGCTGCTCTTACACATCTTCTGTGCAAGTGGTACTTGCTTTAAGGATTTCAAAGAAGGGAGGGCAGAGAAGAGCACCTGGGAAAGGGGGGATGGACAGAACCTGAAAAAGAGAGACTGGCAGACTCTTTTTTCCTAAAGATCAAGCTCTTAAGTCTCCTCCATAACTTTACAACGAGGCAGTAGAAGGAACGTGTAATTCCCCTCATCCAGGAGAGAGGTATGCGAAGTCACGATGCTTCAGATGTTTTGAGAGCTGTTATTTCTCCAAGTGATGCGTTCTGATGCTCAAGCAAAGCTTTTTCGGAGCCCTGAGATATGTTCTCTTTCTCACTGCCTTCCTAACGTATGCTTTCGGAAACATTAATTTATGCCCACAGTTTGTAAGTTCGAAGTACAGCAAAGTGAGACTTGAGTCAGAAGGAACCGGGCGGTGGTTAATAATGCTTCCACTGGCATCTGGAGGTTCCATCGTATGGAAGTAATCGTTGCCCGTGTGGGTGTTTAGCAGTTAAAAGAGACCATGGAAATCAGCCGTTTGATTCTCAATTTCATACTGTGCCATACAATCAATTCTTTTTAGTCAGACTGTCTCTAGATTTACTTCTGAGCCATAGTAAAATGAGGAAGCTTTCATTAATCTTTCAGATGCTTCATATTAATGACAAGGCTCTTGCATGAACAATGTAACAGCAATTAAAAAGCCCATTAATCTGCATTACAGCTATTAAAGATGCATGTCATTAAAGGGTATGGAGTTTGATTCATTTTCGCACAACCCCCCTCCCCAAAAAATGGAGCAATTATGGCCTGGCAATGCACTTTGTCATCAAATTAGGTTGGGGTTTTCTAGCAAATGGCCTTGTAGCATTTAGCTCTTCTCCTATTTTATTATTCATGACTGCAATGTGGAAGTCAAGACCTTTGAAATTACTTTACCTTCTTGGGGAGTAGAGACGTTCAGTGCCTGTGAGCTCTCAGTACAGCCAGTCAGAGTGCAAGCAGCGAGGGTGACTGAGTAGCGTTTGGAGGGCAGCAGGCCTGTCAATATGCCTATAAGAAAGGGGGACAAAAGAGGTTTGCATGTTGACCACAAGAAGCTAGAAAAAGAATTCTGTGTGTGCGTGTGTGTGTAAGAGAGGGAGGCAGAGACAGAGAACACAGTGACATATGCCTCTTTATTTCATTTTCCCGCCTGTGTGCTGACTGCAGAGCGGAGTGACTAGGGAGGAAGAACTGTGAGACCCGCTTACTGTTAAGACCACTGCAAGCAGCATCTTCCCACATGCACTTCCAGGACACTGATTCCCCTATAAAAATGGGGGTTCCCCCTACAGTTCGAAAAGCAGAGCACAGCGTATCTGATGGTAAAAACACACATCACCCTCTTCCAGTATCCTAGACCTCCCGCAGAAACCAAACCATTTAATTTTCTTTTACCTCACATTTCTCAACCGTATTTAACCAAAGAGTCCCCTTTACGCGACATCTATTAACACACGTGAGGAAATGTTACTCCCAAGAGTGACTTCATTATTTTAACGGTAGGATACACGTCTATGGACTATTTGTTCATGTTGCAGCTAACAAAGATGCAAAGCAACATAGCTGAACAATTAGCAAACTGGATAATTACGTTTTTGAACTCCTACTCGCGAAAATTATTAGTTTATTTAATTAAGACACCTGTCTTAAAACAGAAGCATTCCAACATTCCAAAAGAAGTGTTGAATTCACCTGACTTGGTTGTGGATATGTAAGATTTGTTCAGCAATTAAAAGTGCCTGCAGACATGAAAACCCATTTTGTTTACTGGTGTTTATAATCAGGGCAGCTCTTTATTTAGTTAATCCGTGAATTAAAGACGTATCGAAAACATAATTTGTGTCTTTGCTTACCACTGATTTTCATTGCAGAAGTTTTCTGAGCTGTTTTTTTATCCCTAATCACATAGATTGTCATCATTGATATAAAAAGATGGTCCTACTCACAGTATCCCTTTATTGAGGAAGCCTTGATGGTTTTAACGTGCTCATGTGGGTGACAACTTGCATCATTCAAGAACAAATTTTAATATATGTTTGCCCATTCCCTTTCCCCAAGAGAAAGATAAAAAAATTACGAGAGCAAAGATGAGGACGAAGCAAAGACCACAGCCACTGTCTGTTCTGGCGTGTCCCACTTGCCGTCTGTCCCCGGCGATGCCTGCAAGTCTTCATTCTAGCAGCTCCCCAGGCATCCCCCTGGGCTACCAAACCTTCTCCACTGCACTTGGCACCATCATCTGAGATCGTGGCCAAAGATGACAGCAAGTCAATGAACTAAGACATGTACATGTGTAACCACCTTGTGCCAAATTCATTTCTTACTGATATCAAAACCCCTCCACGTTGTGACTTTCTGCTTCACCCTCACTCCTGCTGCTGTGATGGTCATTTCCTCTTGACTCTCTCGGACCATGACCCACATTCTGAGCTCATTCTTCTCAGCACTAAACGTCTTAAAGGAACGCTCACAGAATCACGTACGCATCCTCACCATGGGGTGGTGTAGTGCTCGAGGGTAAAGATGCTCAGGCCAGACTGCCTGGGTCCAAAGGCCAGTTCTACCGCTGATGTGTCATATGGGTTTGGGCAACTGCCCAGACCTCTGTGCCTTAGTTTCCTCAATTGTAAACAGATAATCATAGTACCTGTCTTGCACGAGAGGTCTCAAAGAATTAATACAGTATTCTGGGGATATTTTAGTATTCACCTCAAAGTGTAAATGAGTTTGGGAATATAACGTACTCAACACAGAGCAGTGTAAGGAGAGAGCTCTAGCACGAGCCATGGCAGCCTCAGATGTATTATACTATCACAACCTAGCTTCTGCCTGTGCTATGCTATTAAATATTGATTTTTATCTCTGAAACATCACTAGTGATCCCTTAAATACCAGACCAAGTAACCCTTCCTCAACCCTTATCCTCCTCTACCTACCGGACTCTCCCTCCCTCGGCTTCCTTCTGCCACTGAATTTTCCTGAGCCCTCCTTTCTCTTCTTGACCGACTCTTCTTCCTTTCACAGTCCCTTAAACAGCTTTGCTTTGCTTGCCTGCCTGTCTGCTTTTCTTTCTTTCTTTCTTTCTCTTTCTTTCTTCCTTTCTTCTTCCTTTTTCTTTCCTTTCTTTTTTTTCAATTCTTTCTTCCTTCCTTCTTCTTTTTCTCTCTCTCGCCCTCCCTCCCTCTCTTTCTTTCTTTCTTTTTTTTTTCTACAAGGTTGGGTCCTCAGGCTTCTTTCTTCCTCTAAACACTTGCCCCTGTTAGTTCATCAAGCCTCATCTTTCATCTGTATCTGCAGACCTCGCATCTCTCCCCCACACTCTGGTTCTGCATTTCCACCGCAGGCCACGTGCCCCACCCAGAGGTTCAACGAGCATTTCACTCTCAACACGCCCCCATCCAGACCTGACAGCCTAAACTGTTTTGTAAGCTTCATTTTCTTATGTTTTAATGCCTCCGTCATGATCCATGACGGGTAAATTCCAGGTTCAAAGCCAACATATCCTTGTGAGATAGGTTCTAGCCATTTTATCCTTTGAAAATCTTTGGCATCTGTCACGTCTCTCCCGTTGCCGAACTCAAATCTACTGTAAGTCTAAATAAGATGAGTCACATGTCTGAACTCGCATAATGCCATACTAACAAGAAATGAGTCAGCCCCCAGAAAACGAAACTTTTAATCCTAGAGGGAGCAAGAAAAATGTGTTGGGGCATGAGATTAGTTTCCTTTGTTTATCACCTAACCTAGGAGGCACTGCCTCTCCTAGGCTGGCCTGACCTAGCTGGGGCACAGGAATATTATATCCAAAAAGACACAGGGGTTGGAGACAGGTTGGTGCTGAGATCTTTAGTATGAAGATGTGTGATATATCCAGATAATATTATCTTTGGGAAACATAAAAATCTTTCCATTATTTTGCAAAATATCTTATCCTGAGACATGATTTCCAAGTCGTAGCTGAAGTAAGTGTTGTAATTGCAACTGTTCTGTCTACTTAACAAGAAATACATTAACGGAGACTTTAGGAAGGATCATGTCAAACCAGAGACTGAGTTCACATTCACTGAATGGTCTTTGGTGTCTTATTTAACTTCTTTCGCCTTCACTCAAGGAGTTACTTTGTGTGTCTATGTGTATCATAAAATTCCTTTACTAATTTCTTCCCCTGTAAAAAACAGGCAATACTTCTCTCATCACACTTAGATTCTTCAGCTTTGTGCTTTGGTAGAGAAGTTAACCAAATTGTATTTCACAGAAAACTCCTCAGATTCTTAAAGAAAGATGCTGGAGAGAAACGAGATCACCTTTCAGGCTATTTATCAAAGTGCCCACATTTTCCATCTCCAGGCAGGTGAAACAATAATCAACACTGAGAACGGAGAGCGGCAAAACGGAAAACAGAAAATAGAAGAAGAAAGCTGATGTTTGGCTCTCACCAATGTTGAATCGCAGGTAGAAAGCTTTGGATGGCTTGCAAATCACACTTCTAAAAAATATGCTGTACTTTCTGAGCTGAGGTGGCATCTCTTTCCTATTTCCAGTGGGGATCTTGCTCATAACGTTGTGTCTTAGAAACACAACGTTATGAGCAAGTTTGTCAAACCAGCAGGATAATTTTCCCTAAGTACAGGTTGGTATTATCTCCTTCAGTAAGAAGAGCAGTGAAAATAATGCCATTTGCAGCAACATGGATGGACCTGGAGAATGTCATTCTAAACGAAATAAGCCAGAAAAAGAAAGAAAAATACCATATGATATCACTTATATGTGGAATCTTAAGAAAAAAGACCAATGAACTTATTTACAAAACAGAAACAGACTCACAGACATAGAAAACAAACCTATGCTTACCAGGGTGGTAAGGGACAAATTGGGAGTTTGAGATTTGCAGATACTAATTACTATATATAAAATAGATAAACAAGAAGTTTATACTGTATAGCACAGGGAACTATATTTAATATCTTGTAGTAACTTACAGTGAAAGAGAACATGAAAATGAATATATGTATGTACATGTATGACTGAAGCATTATGCTGTAAACCAGAAATTGACACAACATTGTAAACTGACTGGACTTCAATAAAACTATATATACAAAGGTAAAAAATTGAGAATAACTACCTTAGCTCATCTCAAATAATCTCTTTGAAACATATGTTGGTACAGAAAACTTCTTAAAGTAATCTTCATATTTACTTAACCTCAGGTGTAAAAAGGAAAGCTATTTCAATGGTCAGACAATATATGTTGTCATCCACCCCACTCCACTATAAAGGAAAACTGAAACAGAATTAACCCTTTTTTTTAAGATTCAGATAGTAAGTATATTTTGATTTAAAATACACAATAGGTCAGGGGAAATTTCATTTTGGTCAGAACAATCCAGAGGAAAATGTCTGATTTTTAGTATCCTCCTACCAAAACAAAGATGGCTTTAACTGATTTAAAAAAAAAAAAGAGCCCTGGGATGATTTCACATTCTCCTCTTGTCAGGTGACAATTAGCATGGGGGAGGGGAAGAGGGTGGTCAACCACGTGGCCTCCACTAAATCAGAAGACTGTCAAAGCCATCCCATTATCTGGGACACATGGTTGATCCCTTTTGTTTCACAGTATGGAGGGTTTACCAGGATGGATTAAAGTTGATGCTTATAAAAAGTTCTGTTATTACCAAAGAATAACTATATTCTCTCCAAGACAAGGCAAGGTGGCCTTTCTTGGCTGTATCGCTAGACCAGTGAGTGCTTGGCCAGATGGCCTCACTGTAAGTGTCTGAGTCACACTTAGATTATATACTCTCCAGAAAAAAAAAAAGTAGTACGACTATGACAACACATCATCAAGAAGTTTTTTTTTTATCAACTTTCCTTCTATATGCCTCTGTGAAAGGGGCTACAGAATAGAACTGATCTTTACAAAGTTTCTGATTTAAGAGAACATTAGCGCTAGAAGGACCCTAACAACAACAACACACAGGTTAATACATAAAGCCGACTGCCTGCCT